GAACTGTTGTGAAACTTAGAAGAGGTATCTAAGTTTCACAACAGTTCCGGTCATGTGACTTCTATGTTCAATCTGTATACATGTATCCGTGTCAGTGTAAATTACTTGTACCTGATGATGACAAAACCTTGTCGAAACGTTGTACATTTGCTGTCATGTTAAACTTATATTAAAGTTTTTCTTCATTACCCATTTAAGCCGTCTCCAGCCATTATTAGTCTCAAAGTGGGTTCCTCGTCATCGAATTTGATACTCTTAATGTTTAGTGTATCATCACATTTGTAGTTAAAAGAGATTCAACCTTACAGAGCTTTAAGAAGTTAGACCATTTCAATTAATTCTGAAATGATGTATCAAATTCTCCCTCATTAACTGTGATTTATTTGATTTCCTCACTTCATGAGTTTTTCTATGTGGTTTTCAACTGCTATCATTTAAGATTGGAAGATGATGTATAGAAAGAGGAAATCACACTGTATTTGAATGATTTAAAATCTAGCCCACAACAATGTGATTTATCTAATCTTTTGTTTTGTGTTTACTTACTGAAGAAATATTTGTGATTTAATTTCTCTCGATTGTACACTTTAGCTTTTATAATATTTTTATTAAGTTTCAAATGGAAATATTCTTTTGAAAATATCGTCGGTTTATAGTTTATATAACTAGTTTTATAATATCCTCATTAGGAAGTGTGTTCTGAAGCTAGTATCTTTTCTCATACTAATGCTGGGTTTATGTCACAGTGTTGCAACTGTTGTCATTTCATCAGACTCCATATTCTGCATCAGAGGGAGCCCATGCTGTTGTTATCTGCACAGAATGGGATGAATTTTTGGTAAGCTTAGATTTATCAAAATCTGTATTTAATTACACACTATGTATGTGAGTACATGCAAGAAGAGAACAAAAAATAAAAGTGATGATACTGGAAATGTTGTGCCTCTATTAAGTTATTATTATTTATACCATTAAGTTCAAACTTTTTATGTCCAGACCTGGATGTTTGTTAAAATTGTCACCAAGTGTAAAATATACATTAATTCAAATTCACTGAAATGTAAACCCTTTGCATATCAAAATTTACAGTTGATTTGTCTATTAAAAACTGTAAGGTTGGATACAAAAGTGTTGCATTGGTTTTTAGGTTTATTTGTGTTGGATGATTAGTAAGCTGTCTTTGTTGTACAACAGGTTTAAAGAAAAAATCATGAATCAAAGCCTAATCTTTGGAAACTGTAAAATATATGGGCCTATTCTGTGGCTTAATGTAAGTCTTTGTTGGATAATCAAGGTGGGAAGCAACAGTGTTGCCCAAGCTTATTGTTGGTATGTTGGTCTTTGTTGGATAATCAACGTGGGAAGCAACAGTGTTGCCCAAGCTTATTGTTGGTCTTTGTTGGATAATCAAGGTGGGAAGCAACAGTGTTGCCCAAGCTTATTGTTGGTATGTTGGTCTTTGTTGGATAATCAACGTGGGAAGCAACAGTGTTGCCCAAGCTTATTGTTGACCAACATTAAGCCTGAGCAAAACTATCCTTCCCATCTTGATTATCTAACAAAGACCAACATTAAGCCTGGGTTTGTTAGATAATCAAGATGGGAAGGATAGTGTTGCCCAAGCTCAATGTTGGTTTTTGTTAGATAATCAAGATGGGAAGGATAGTGTTGCCCAGGCTTAATGTTGGTCTTTGTTAGATGATCAAGATGGGAAGGATAGTGTTGCTCAAGGTTAATGTTCATCTTTGTTAGATAATCAAGATGGAAAGGATATTGTTGCCCAGGCTTAATGTTGGTCTTTGTTAGATAATCAAGATGGGTAGGATAGTGTTGCCCAAGCTCAATCTTGGTCTTTGATAGATAATAAAGATGGAAAGGATAGTGTTGCCCAGGCTTAATGTTGGTCTTTGTTAGATAATCAAGATGGAGAGGATAGTGTTGCCCAAGCTTAATGTTGGTCTTTGTTAGATAATCAAGA